TTGTTGTGTGTGTGTGTGTTATATATATATATATATATATATATATATATATACAAGTGAAGCAAAATACTGAAAACAGAAAACATATTTAATTCGGAGGTCATAACTAAATTATCAGATGAAATGCAATTCATTACTTCAATTTGCATCTTCCTTGCGTCCATGTACAAATCAATTAATTTGTCATCCATGTACAAATCAATTAATTTGTCATCCATGTACAAATCAGTTAATTTGTCATCCATGTACAAATCAATTAATTTATCATCCATGTACAAATCAATTAATTTGTCATCCATGTACAAATCAATTAATTTATCATCCATGTACAAATCAATTAATTTGTCATCCATGTACAAATCAATTAATTTGTCATCCATGTACAAATCAATTAATTTGTCATCCATGTACAAATCAATTAATTTGTCATCCATTACAAATCAATTAATTTGTCATCCATTACAAATCAATTAACTGGTCCATTTTCCAAAATATTTCGTATACAAATTTCAACGAAACCATTTTATTAACATGTCATCAAATTTAAATGTTTTAGGGTTAGTACCTTATCGGGGGGGAGGAGGGGGTGAAGGCGTGTGTTGGCCCTGTGGTACTTTAGCTATGGGTGCATTATAAGAGTAATAGTAAATCCCTTAGCGTGGGTGGAAGGTTTGAGCTGTTGATTGACTGCCTTCCCTCTGATCAGTATTTCACAATTAGGGTCAACAGTAGCTTTGACATAACTACAAATATGTTATTATAAGTACGATTTAACTTTGTAAAGAAAACGTGAAAACGTTTTATTACACTATTACAACTGAGTTAAAAACTAAATTTGTTAAACAATTTTTCAGATGTAATTCTGATAGGCCACTAACACCTTCAAAGAAAGTTTTGGTATGCAAACGATTTTAAGTCACGATTTATAGAAGTTAACACTAGGCGTATACGTAAACAGAATTGAAAGGCATAATCTCGTGGCATCACATTTGGAACGAGAGTTGCGTTCTTGGTAAAGACTCGAGACGAAATATTGATGCTAAGGCTTAAGTACATTTTTCTCACTCGAAGGTAGTTTTTTTGTTGTTTTTTTTAAGTAATTATCTTAACGGACTTCATTCAAGGGCTACTCCCAAATTAATAACAGTGCCATTAGTGTATTATCCATGAAAGATGTCTAGGACAAGGACAACATATTCAAGTCTGTATTAATAATAATACTTTGAATATGTGTTGAAATACGCTGATTCTGGATTGTACCAATACGAAAAATGTGACCTAATATTACATTAATCAACAAAAGGTTTTATATCTTCTTACAGGGGTGGCCAAAAGACTGTTTTTTTCGCAATACGCAAACAAAAACAATCACGTAAAAAGTTTAATTCTCGAAAAGTTTCCACGTCTAAACGAAAACGTGATTCTATGTTATTTTATCCGGCGTTTCGGGTAAACGCCCTTCGTTAGGCATTATATACAGTGCAGGAGAAATCGACTTCAACGCATACAATAGAATAAAACTATCTTTTAGACGTGCGTTAACTTTCTCGTTGTTACTTTTTATCTGAAAGATAAGTTACTACGACTGTACACACTGAAGGATATTTGAGTGTACAATTGTAGTAACTCATTATTATTATTATTATTATTATTCAGTGTCTCCAAGATTAACAATGTGAAGAGACCAAATCTTTGTCCTCATTACATCAATCTTGGCCGCGAGTAATTTGTAAAGCTGCGCTAATGTGAACTGTTGGCACTATTTTCTTATTCTTAATTTTTTAGTAGTTACTTTTGGCCAACCCTGTACAATGCTAGCGCTATCTTACGTTTGACCGAAAGACTCCACTGAAGGGCGTGAGATTGGGAGGGCCTCGTAGGTCGAACTCGGGAGCATTGTAGGTCCTGCTAACTTTGCTCTGGCGGTTAGAATCGCAGGAACTTTCCTTCGTAAACATGCTGTCATAACTCACGCGACTCTCAGAAGCCAGCGAAGACGAAGCTTTAAGTCGTCTGGTGGTCGTCCTCCACATTTCCGACGAAGAACGCTGGTTCCCGTTGACATGCGCATTGACGAACGACATCCTAGCCTGGTAACTGGCACCTATCGGGAAATAATGAAGGCTGGTTAAGTCAAAAGATACCGACAGAATGATTCGTTTACGCTGTTCCGTAATCCATATAAACAACACCGGAAGAGCCTCGAGTTCTACTGTTAAGCTATTGATACGACACGATTGACGTCGGGCAAGGTACTTTCTTATGTCTGCTCGAAAATAAATAACTGTTTGTAAATAAATCTTTTGTAGATTTGAATTCCGATAGCATCCTAATAAGATGCCATAATTCTTTGTCTATCGAAATTCCGCCTTTAATCCCGAATAAAAATATTTCTTTGCAGTCCGAGGTCTCATCATTTGAATGTGCGAGTTGTAAATAAGGATTAATCGCTGATTTCAGGTTTCTGTCAAGTCTCGAATCTAGGAATGAGCAAAGAGATATTATTAGTAATAAAATACTGACTTAGCCCTTGGGTATTGTCAATCGAAACAGTGTTATAGAATGAAAAATGATTTATAAAACCGAAGTTTAAAAGGACACAAAGTGCCGTAAGCACTTGACAAAAATAAGATTAATAATAATTATTATCATACTGCCTTTCACTCTATATCGCTTACTTCCTTAATTGTATGTACACGCAGGCCAGTTTTGTTATTGGTTTGCCATTTTATCTCTGTCCTTTGTGCCATATAAAAGTCTCGTGGACTTAGGGAATCGCCCACTGTAAAACCCCCTTCATTCCAAGTTAAAGTGGCTAGCATCCGGATTGAAAAACTTCAAAGTTTCCACCCCTTTCGTTACAATACTTATAAAACTTTTAATACGAGAATTCACTGAAATAATATGTTGTATGAAGGTTATGTTTTTAATTTAGACGTTTACATTTTTTGGACAGGGGGGAGGTTTAACGTACGGCATGGAATGAGCGTGTGGCTTAACGTCTGGAATTAATTTCCCAACTTTTAGAACAGCGTGATATGTAGGAATACACCATGCGTTTTCTACTTTCTCATTTTAACGTGGTCATATTAAATATTTTCGTTTGTTCTAAGTCTATTTAGTTTTTTTGCATAGCACCGAGTCCAGAAGGCCGTTAAGTTCGTTTCATTCTAACTGCCTTTGTTCCTTTCTTATTTTATAGAGATAATCCCGTTCTGTCCGTGGGTGTAATTAGAATAACGTTACAGCTTGTAGAAGAATGTAGACGACAGAAGTGTCCTTCACTTGCAGCTCAGATGATATTTTGACATTACGACCTTCCGTATGTTGAATGAGAATAACCAGTCACGTAGTAGCGCTAGTTTCCAAGGGTAAATCCCATTAAGTATATATATATGGAACCTAAAGTGAGTTTGTTGAGGGAAAAAGACATCTCGGGGGAATAAAATCAGTTGATCAATTCACTAGGTTAATGAAGACGACTGTCCAATGTTAAACGAAAGTGCACACACACACACACACAGTCTTTGTCATTGGAAATAAGTACTGTCCAGCGCCTTTATTTCTTAACTTAAAATCTGCTAGTTTAATTTAATTCTGTATTACTTCGTCACTTATCCTGCCGATCCTCCCGTTATAAATCAGACCTACTCAATACTCTGCTGAAATCAGTTTAACCTGAGAACACCATAATAGTTCGAGCAGTATAAAAGGCGAGTCAGTTTAGATTTGTTAATGGTGATTATTAAGTGAATTAGTTAGTTAGTTCAGGTTTGTGAATAATGAGCTCCTGTTTCGACGGGAAGTACAGTAATTAGCAAGTAAGTAAAACTGTTATTTTAAGTATGCTGTGAACTTGGCCTATTAGTGAACGTCAATTAGGCTAACTCGTAAAATTTGTAATCAAATAAATAATACATTTTCATTAAGTGGACAAGTTAAAACAATACTGTGGCGTTTGGAAAAAATAAGCGCTTCGTTAAAACAATACTGTGGCGTCTAGAAAAAATAAGCGTTTCGTTAAAACAATACTGTGGCGTCTTAGAAAAAATAAGCGTTTCGTTAAAACAATACTGTGGCGTTTGGAAAAAATAAGCGTTTCGTTAAAACAATACTGTGGCGTTTGGAAAAAATAAGCGTTTCGTTAAAACAATACTGTGGCGTTTGGAAAAAATAAGCGTTTCGTTAAAACAATACTGTGGCGTTTGGAAAAAATAAGCGTTTCGTTAAAACAATACTGTGGCGTTT